CGGGATTGGCTAATATTCTTCTCTCATTAAAACAAATATATGATAAGATGGTATAAGATACGATGAGATTAGACAAGACAAGATGTGTTAATGAGGATGGTGGTAAAGTTAATGTTACATCTAAGGTTTTTATTTACTTTACTTTTACTTCTTTTTTTGTCATCCTCTTTTGCCGTTAAGCGTCGAGGGGAGATGCAGTTTTCTATGGTAGGACAGCTTTGCAGCTCTTTCAGTTGGGATGTATAATAATTTCTGTTTCCTCCCTCCAATTCATTTTTTGCCTTGTCGATCTCTTCCATTATTGCCTGAGTATTTGGTGCTCTTGATGTTGGCTGGCAAGGTGACATTCGTAACAGGTGGCTTGGCGATCTTATTTTCTCTTTCTCTATGAAATGCAGGCAGGACTCAGTGCCAATGGCCGCTCTTACCTCTTCATTTCTCTGCTTGTCTCTTCTTAAATTGTTAAGTGTTTAATCTTACTTTTGTATCTGACTGAAACACTCCAAAAATACTTCATTACGTGATGTTTCAGTACCCAAAGATATTAATATGTATGATGGTTCAAAGGAACTAGTCAGCAAGATTGTTTTATTAACACTACATTTTAAGATTTCTCAATCTCCAAAGAAACTAAACTAGAAAACCGTTAAATATCCAAATATACCTCATCAAAGATAGTTCAGTCTCCAAAGATTCTTAATTGGGAGATGGTTCAGTCTCCAAAGACGAAAGGAGTGGAAGGAGGGGGATATGGGAAGGAAGGGTAAAGGGTATGGGGGTGGAAGGGTTGGGAGGAAGGGCATAAAACTCGATGAAGAGCCGAAATTTGGCCTGCGGGCTGTAATTTGCCCATCACCCAGGTCCTAATTATGCCATACCGGGTTGTCCTTTAGGGCTGTTAACAACGAACTTCTGGACACGTACCAACTGAAATCTCTGGACGCTGTGTTGGAGACAGACCTGGATGATTTGGCGCTAATCAAACGGGGAGACAAGATCTATTTCAGCTACAAGGACGAAGATTTTTTACCCACACGCTTCGACAACTCGGCGCTGCGCGACCCGTACGACATTGTGATTAGAGCGCTGGGCTTCAAGTTCGATGACACCATCTTCAAGTGAGTGCATGACGGTCGTGCGTGAAGGCAAATGCGCGGTGGTTTAATATTACTACACGTAATAACATAATACTGCTTTGGAGTGGGGGTGGGGTTGGGGGAGGGGGGCGTTATTGCTTTCTCTATCTATGTCTCTGTCTCTGTCTCGGTCTCTATCTCTGTCTGTCTCTGTCTCTGTCTCTGTCTCTGTCTCTGTCTCTGTCTCTGTCTCTCTCTCTCTCTCTCTCTCTCTCTCTCTCTCTCTCTCTCTCTCTCTCTCACCTTGTTGCCGCAGACGTAGCATAGCGGATGTTGCTGTTGTTGTTATTTTTTGCTGATGTTGTCATTGTTGCTGCTGCTGTTGTCGTTGTTGTTATTATTTTATTTGTTGCTGTGGCGGTGGTGTTGCTGTAGCTGTTGTTGCTGCTGTTGCTGTTGCTATTACTGTTGTGGCTGCTTATTCTTTTTTAAAAATATTTTGGTAAGTGTTTTACGACGCTTGCAACTGCATAAGGTCATAAGAGCGTGCGGGACACACCAAACATTTTCAATTGGAAGGACATATTGAATTTTGCCCGGGTGTCGACCGAAGCCTACTCTTAACGATTTTGGACCACTTTACGGTGCGCAACTTGCGCACGGGACCTCCGAGATTTTTTATCAGAGAAGACTTGGTGTAGATCTATCCTACCAGAAGATCAGATGTATGGCTGAAAGACAGCAGTAAGAAGGAGCCAAGGAATAGCAGTAGAAAGGCTGCAGAAAAAGTCAGGAGCCCAGTTGAGTGGGCAAAGGAAGTGAGGGGGTGGGTGAAGAAAGTGGGACGACAAAATAGTGCAAGAGATGAGGAAAGAAGGTGAGAGGAGACAATTTTATAGAAGAACATTTTCCGTCGCTACCCGGATTCGAACCCGGAACCTTTGAATGAGAGGGGAACATCTTAAGCTCTAGGCCACGAGAGCACCCCCCCCCCCTTCTATAACTTATCCGCCGCTGACGTAACAGAGCAGGTGGTTGGAAGGTTCAACTAATAGATACGACGACTTTTCTTTTCCTCTAGAGCTGCTGGTTACGTCTGTCTGCCTTCGATTGTCTCTACACTTTATGACGGTTATCGCGTTAATATGCTTCTTCTTACCCAAGTAAATGAACAAACAAACAAACAAACAAACAAACAAACAAACAAACAAACAAAAACACTAAATAGATCCGTGTCTTAAGGAAACTGGCCATAAATTAATATCCAGCATATAATTTTTTAAGCACAAAAAAAACGATTCTACCATACAAAACACCACAGGACAAACAAACAAAAACGCGAAATAGATCCGGTCCTACGAAAATAAAGCTGGAATTAATCTCCAGCATACATTTTTAAAACCTACCCCACAATATACACAGCAACACAAATAAACAAACAAAAAACACGAAAGAGATCAGGGTCTATAAAAAAAATAATATATTATTCATAAATCTCCAGCATATACATTTTTTAAAACCACCTACAATACGCAACAATACAAATAAGCAAACAAAAAAACACAAAATAAATGCATTTCTTGAGAAAACACCTGTCATACAAAACAAGCAGATGCCCTCAAACCATCCAGCTCTGAGAGCATACAACACTAAATGTTCTGGATGGAAAGCCAGAGGAAGACCAAGGAGACGATGGACTGAATTTGTGGCAGACTCCCTCAGAGCTCACGGGATGTCCCTCCTACAGGCCACTCGCCTTGCTGCAAACAGACGCTGTGTCTCACGGCGACACCAACCGGTATAAGCGGAAGAAAAAAGTAAAAGTTAAAGTATTAGTCTCCAGCGTGAATAGATCTTAAATTCTTTTTTGGTTTTTTCCCGAACCCTATTGTACACAGTAACACAAGAATCACGAGAGGCAAGCACCGGGCCTCGAAGTACCCTGCCATCAACCACAACTACGAGTCGGTGGACAATTCTGGAATGTTCTACGCCGGAACCGCCTCTCACTCCCTCGATTTCCGGAAGTCTGCAGGGGGCTTTATTCACGGTTTCAGATACACTGGTGAGTTTTACTGAAATATTGTATTATTATGATAATACAACAATATAACCCAATGCCATGATGATGATGGTGATGATGATGAGGATGATGATAATGAGAAGAAGAAGAAGAAGAAGAAGAAGAAGAAGAAGAAGAAGAAGAAGAAGAAGAAGAAGAAGAAGAAGAAGAAGAAGAAGAGATGATGATGATGATGATGATGATGATGATGATGATGATGATGATGATGTGATGATGATGATGATGATATGAAAAGAACAAGAACAACAACAACAACAAGAAGAAAAACAATAATAACAATGATAATAGAAATAATTAAATGATAATAGTCTATAATAATAATAATAATAATAATAATAATAATAATAATAATAATAATAATAATACTAATAATAATAATAATGATGATAATAATAAGTAGCTGCATTTCTATTGCACATATCAAGGCTCTAGAGCATGCCATTTACGCCTTACAGCTACGAGTATCATTACCCCAATAGACCTTAGAACACTCAGAAACATCATCTGTTCCTGGGAAACATTAAAGTAATAATAGTGGGTGCCCACCTACGCGGTCGGATCGGGTCGATCTGGAAGTCGAAATTGAGGGCACAAAGCGGCCATCGTGGTGCAAACCGTTCGACTCGGTCGGTGACCTACAAAAACAAAAGGGTTTGTTTTCAGGCCTGCGAATCGCACGATCGGGTGGTTTGTAGCCAATCACAACAAGGATGAGTCACGTGTCCATGTTGACACTCAAAATCTGGTGGCGCCCTCTTCGAAAAAGTGCAGACTTTGTGAAAAGTTGCCCTACTTGTGTGAAAAACAATAAAAGCGAAACTAACAGACTGTGCTATTCTTATTCTTCTTCTGGAGAAATGAAAGAAAGCTTCAAAACAAAGACTGCAGCACCATCTGAACCAATGCGCGGTCTTCCGGGGACGCTTTTTTGGCCGAGCGAACTACAGCTACCTTCTTACTGAAACCACAAGAAAACGACCCGACCCGACCCGAACTGATTCACTCTCGTTAGTGGGCACCCCTTATAAGATCATAAAAGATAGCATTTGTATAGCGCAAATCTCCGCTCAACAGCAAGCTCTAAGCGCTTCACAATCTATACTGTTACCCCACCAGGCCTAAGAGCTTTCTGAAACAACCCCATCTTCCTGGAAAGCATACAGTGCAATCGGTCGGTCATTTATAGGCGCTAAAAAACTAACATACTGACAAGATCTTTCGCTGTCTATGGCCGGGTACCCATTCCCACCTGGGTGAAATGAGGACAATAAAGTGCCTTTCCCAAGGACACAACATCGGGCCCGCTGCTCGAACTCCCGAACCCGCAACCTCACGATTACGATTGCAAGCAGCCGATTGAGCGCTCAAACACTAACAAAATAACAAGACATTTCTATGACTAAAGCCTTGGTTGAAAAAAGATAATGTAAAGTGCCTTCTAAAGAGAGAAGGGTGTATGGGAGGGGAGAGAGAGAGAGAGAGAGAGAGAGAGAGAGAGAGAGAGAGAGAGAG